TGGTCAGCTTGTGAGTCGGAGCCAGAAGGGGGAGCGGGACGGCCTTTTCCCCCCAGCTTCTTTTTCGCCTCGAGGTGCTGCTCAAGCTCACGAACTCTGTGGAGGCAGAGCTCGGCCCAGCGCGGCTCAAAAAGTCTCGTGTGATAGCTATCAACGGGGTCGAGCTGGGCATTTCTGCGGTTAGCGAAAGCCGAAAGCGGAGGCCCCTGCTCAAGCAAGAAGTGTTCTGCAAGAACCCAGCTTCCCCCGTCCAACGCCTGCTGGTCCGCGGCAGCCACAGCCAAGGCTGCCCGAGCACGGGCTTCGTCGGGGCGGTCAGATCTGAGGCAGTCCCAAATTCCCGTGATAGCCCACAGGAGACGCACCGTTGTGGGATACAAGGAGAGATGCGAGCGATGCTCTAGCCAGCCACGCGAGGTGGCCTTGGCATCGGCAAGCCCAGCGTCAAGCTGCCTGTGCAGCAAATCCTCCTCGAGGAGGCGCTCGATGCTGCTGTAAACCTGAGCCGGGTCATTTCTGACCGCATCCTTCAAGACACGGTAGGCGGTGGACTTTGAGCGGGACCCAGAAGAAGAGCTCAGAGACCCCTCGGCCCCAGTACTGAAGCCTTCGGCCCTGTCCAGCGCAGCCTCTAGGTTCGTCTTGTCGGGGCCCCGCCGGCCTCGAGAGAGCTCGCTGACGATCTTTGTCAACGCGACAACGGCATGCTCAACCGGAGAGGAGGCAACCCCAGCACCAGCAACACCTTCAGAAGGCGCTTCAGAACCAGAAGCTCCCCCGAACTCTTGACCCCGGAGAAGGCCCTCGGCATCGTCAAGCTCGTTCCTCTGAGCCGGGAAGTCGCGAAGGGCAGAACGCTTCTCACCCAACAGGCCTTTCAGCTCCTCGAGCTGGCCCTTTTCGATTCCAGCGTCCAAGGCAGCCCGAACAACAGCAGGGTCAAGGCCTGGGACCTCACGCGCGGTGCCCCTTGGCATCGGGGTGCCCGGCACCGACTCAGGAGGACGGCCTACCTTCGTCTTAGCCTTGGCACCTTGCTTGGTAGAGGCAGCAACCTTTGCACCTGGAGCGCCGGCCCCAACGGCTGCGGAGACGGCGCGGGAGAGCTTATCAATCGAAGCCTCGATGGCTCGTAGGCGAGCCTCTTGGGAAGGGTCGGCTGCAGAGCGGGCTGTAGCAAAACCAAACTGTGCATCAGCAACCTGCACAAGAGCAGCTGCGAAAGGCAGGCAGGGAGAAGAATCCAAGCTCAGGAAAGGGACGTCGCACTCCTCCGGTAGTCCTCCAAAGACCACCGCAGCAGCAACCTGTCGAGCGAGGAGACCAATCCAAACCTTCACTGAAGC